GAAGACCACCTGGACCAGAGAGGAGTTGTAGATCATCATTTTATTTTAATTCGAGGCCCTAGGTCAATGTAAAGAAGGTGAGTTTTGTTCTGGTGCATATTTTCTCATTAAACACTCACCAGGAATATTCTGTGAGCCTTGGTGTGGCCAGACTGAGTGCAACACCCCAGGCTCCTCCAAGGCTCACAGAATATTCCTGGTCCATGCTTAATAAATAAATATGCACCAGCCCCATTCTCACCTTGTTTCCATCGACTTAGGGCAATGATCGGCAAACTCATTTGTCAACAGAGCCAAATATCAACAGTAGTTCTTCAAAATAGACTCACCCAGGCCTAAAAACGACTTCTGAGAATGGGCCACAAAGTTTAAATCGCACTGTATGTGTGCGCCTGTATGTGGTATTTTGTGGAAGAGCCACACTCAAGGAGCCAAAGAGGCGCATGTGGCTCAAGAGTCATGGTTTGCTGACCACTGACCTAGGGCCTCTAATTAAAGTAAAATGAAAATATATCCTTCATATAAGATATTTACATTATGATTAATAACAGTAGCAAAATTACAAGTTTGAAGTAGCAACAAAAATAATGTTATGGTTGGGGGTTCCCACAACATGAGGAACTGTATTAAATGGTCGCAGCATTAGGAAGGTTGAGAACCACTTGCTTAGGGGCATGAGTGGCCATCTGTGAGATTCACTGAGCATGGGGTGAAGCATAGCAATCCCTCCTTTGGAAAACTGCTGTTTGAACTACTCTGTAATTCTTAGACAATCTCTTATTCTGGAGGTCAACTCTGTTATTTTTAGGCTGTAAAATAACTTTGCTTTTTTGCTTGAATAGAAAAGATAAACTTAATTGTCTGATCTTACAAGCTAGCCATCTAACTGATATGCTGATATTGATGCCAGGTGCCTGTATAGATATGAAACTTAAGGATACAGGTGTCTGTATAGATATGACAGGTGTTTGCTAGATATGATATGTACTCAAGGTTACAAGCTGTCTACAAAAATAACTGACACAAGGGCCTAAGAAAGATATAAAAAGAGAATTATTCCTCCTTTGGGTGTCCCGAATTTGACAGAGGTAATCTGCTCTGAACCTGCACCCGATAGAGATGACTCCTAAAGGCACATTAAGGCATCTTGTCCAGCTCACTGATTTTTGATACAACAGGGGTAGAGGGCCATTGGCCATGAGACTTTAGTGGTGAGGGCTGTGACTGGGGATGGGAGATTATGTGCAGCACTGGTGGAGGAGGGCTCTGGATATCTAAGACGTGATGTGGTTCCCAATAGGTGAGGTTGAAGGAAAACACAGTCAGGGAGTGAGGCCTTTATAGCAGGGCTCAAGGCTGCCTCCATGAGTGTGGACTCACAGAGTTGGTGTAGAACTTATTCCTGTTTGAATTTGCCAAGCAGTCACTACAGCACACATGCTGAGTAATGAGTAGGAAGTCAAGGAGATGATTATGGGGGTGGTAGGTGTGGGACTGCAGGTGAGAGAGAGGTGTGGGAGAAGGAGTGATGTACCCTTGGAGAGGGAGTGTGAATTCATGGCCACAGGACACTGGATGTTGCAATAAGGGTGATTAAGGAGTGAGTCCATTTTTGGTGGTTACTGGCTGATATAATATGTGATATGATATGAGGAATTTTAGTGTAATTGTCTGAAAATAGGGGTGTTGTGGTGAGACCTCTCAGGTGCAGAGCTGAGGTGTCACATAGATGCACACCTTCCTAGGGTTGTCGAGGGCTGACACATTGATTAAGGGGAAGGAGATAGCATATATTGGTGTCACCTGGGCTTGCATATTTGCAGTGGAATGGGGAAGGGAGATAGAAAGAGAAACATATTACAGAAGCTGTGAATTAGACATTTGGAAGGGAAGGTGAGTAGGAAATAAAGTGTTCTCGCCACGACAAATTTGTGTTGCCTTTGAAAATGTGCCCTGGGAAATGAAGCTGTGTGAGAGAAGTGTGGTTCAAAGAATTATGTTGAGCAGACAGTGCAAGGTGATGGCCTCAACACCATGGTAACAGAGTCAGAAGGGTGAAGCACGAGGCCATGTTTTTTCATGTCTCTGAGGGAGATTACGGGCAATAACAAGAGTATTGCCTGACAAAATGTGATAAATCATTCACATTTTCTTTATGGCCAACAACTCTCTCTTCACTATGTGGGTGACACCCACTGTATTAACAAGGGCCCTGTGGCATATGTGGGAGGCCCAGAGCTCAGGTATCTTCTATCTGCTCAACTGCTTCTATTTTTGTGGGAAGACGCAGTATCAGTAGGAATATAAGGAGAGAGTGATTTAATGGGCCCAAGGTCTGGTGTCTTGACAGATGAATTGTAGAGGGAGCAAATGGATGTGCAGGGTGGGAAGTATGAAGAAATTGAAATCCTAAGAGAGAAGCTAATCATAGCTTGAACTGTCCCCCTTAGGACAGAATATGAACTTTGAGGACGTGGCCATTGTCTTCTCTGAGGAGGAGTGGGGGCTCCTTGATGAGGCTCAGAGACTTCTCTACTGCAATGTGATGCTGGAAGTGTTTGCACTTGTCTCATCTACAGGTAAGACCTTCACGTTTGTCCCAGTGTCCTGAGGTGATGTCTACCCTTCCTTTTTTCTCCAAACGTAGCTCTCACAGCCACACCATGGGCTCTACTTATTACGCCCACGTTTCTTTAAAATGGGCTGTGGCTGCCAGGGGTGAGCTGTGTGGGGAGTCCTGAGCTCTGGACTCCCCAAGCATCCCTTACACCCAATGCCTCAGAAAATGCAAGAAGTGTCTTGCAGTCAGGAGTCTTGCAATGAGCTTAATGGGACCTACTTTGAACTTTCTCTTCCTGGAAGGTGACTATGTCCTTATGGCTTCCACTTCTGCACCATTCATCCAGGTAAGGCTCTTTTGTGACGCCTGTACCGGGTTATGGTCTTTACTTACAGGAACTGTAGCTGTACTTGTA